ATGCTGTTGAAAACGGTTAAGAACGAAGGCTTGGCAAGGGAAAAGCAGGATATTGGATATTATATATTATATGCAAACACGGTGTTTTGAATTATTCTATTACATTTGTAGTGCTTTTCCCTCATTTTTTTCTTCTGCTTTGGAGAAGAAGATTAAAGTGACTGACTCTTAACAGGCTTGTGAAAGAGAAGATCTCTTCCTCTGCTGTCCTCAAAAATCATCTTTCAGTAGCTTTCTCCTCAGTTCTTGGATGAGAAAAGAGAAGCACATCACTTTCCACAAAGGAGCTGGGTATTTCCTAGGACATTCTCTCTTCTCTACCTTTATCAGACGATTAGCAGTGTTAGAAAAACAAATTTGATGTATGTGTATATGTACATTATATAAAATATACACATAGTTAAGTAGTCCAAATTTTAGCTTCCTCCTGGCATAGTATTTTTTAAACACTATTAAGCCTTGGCCTTTGTGACACGAATCCCAGTTCTGGAAGCTGCTTTCTGCTTAGCTGAGTGTCCCCACTGTTCACAGGGGTATGTATCTCTGTACCTAATTTCTTAAAACTGAAGTCTTGTATAAATCATTACTTTAACATTGCAGTAATTTAAGCTTGTGAACTCCACAGATCCTCCAGAATATAAAAAGATAAAGAAGAGTAATCTAATGCTCAAGTGCCTCAGTCAGCTGCCTAAAACCACACCTCGAAGCAAGCTATCACAGGCATAACGTGTCAGATACTGAAATCTGAAGTATATAAACCACAAGTAATTGCGTCAATTGCTCCATGCATTACTGTTTTATTAAGTGGTGATCAAAGCTAGAGACAAGGAACACTGCCTCACAATGCACATCACCACTTCTCAGAATAAACGGTTCTGAAAACAAAAAAATAAAAACAATAAATGTTTATCTTAAAGAATGTGCAGTTTGAACCACTCATCAATGCTGTCTCTCTACTCTTCAGTAGTGACAGTATTTTCAGTAGAGCATGGGTGCATCCGTGCTATTTGCATGGAGGAGGCTCTATAACGTTAAATGTACTCAGAACTTTCCAGTTGGTAAAATCAGACTCTCCAGAAGCACTCCTGTACGCTGATCAATCTTTATCACCAGAGGTATTTTACAGGACTTGCTAATTACAGAGTCTTGTTTTCAGCTGAGGAGAGGGGAAGAGGCAGGCGTGAGGGTCAAATAAAAAAGAGAACAGAATGAGAGGTAATTCCAACAAACAGGTGGAGATCACTTTTAAAACTCAGGGAGCTGACACAGGTATTGCCTTCCCTGTAAGAACCATTATTACATAATGTTCCTGTGGCCACCAGAAAAAAGGAAGACGACGTGATGACACCGTTACGATAAATTAGTTGCAGCAATTACCTCTACAAATACTTCCTTATCAGCTAAAGATTTAAGTTAAAACAGGAGAACAAGTCAGCAGTCAAAAAATCAATATGAAAGTTGCCAGAATTGTTTTTTTAAATTGTCTACTCTTATTAAAGCTTTTTAAATCATCTCTGCAGCATACACAACTACACCTCCTAAGCCCTGCTTCCAGTAACAGGGCAACTTCTGCTGATTGGAGTGATCTGTTTTGCAAGTGTAATTTAAGTGTACGTTACATGATGGTTACGGGCGATGTGGGTCAGGAGCTCTCAGTACAGTGTGCTCTGCAGTGCTGCTACTCAAGAGAAAGGAAAAGGGGTAAAAAAGGAACTACAAATCCTGCCCCCAAAAAATGGTGAGGTTTTAGCAAAAAGCACAAGTACTATCAGCATGTAAAGAGCTACTTTTCAACTATTTACTTTATTTCCTTTTAAACGTACATCTTCAGGAAAAAAAAGAAAATACAAAAATCAAGCTTTCCAGATTCTCACACATGCATTTCAAATCTCTCAAGGTAAATAAAACGCAAGACTTACAAGAAAAATATTTACACCATTAATATTACTCCAGAACCACCTTCACTAGTTTTTCCTACAGGTGAGAGATCTATGCAGATTTCACCACATCAAGACCTTTCAGCAGTCACTGTTGCCTGGATCTCATCTGCACACCAAAAACCCCTTAACTTCTACTTTTTGGAGGACGTTCTACAGCAACTGCTAACTCCTAGTCCTGAAGCAGTCAACAAGGCTTTTGCTCAGCTTAAAGCTGTAGAAGGTTATGCAAGACACCTCATTCTGGATGCATTGATTTCTTAGCGGACAAAGTTCACTGCTTCTTTCCATACTTCTGAAACTTCAAGAAACAAAATGCACATCAATTTGTTTCAGTAAGCTAGAAGAGATATATTCACTCTGGGATCATGATTAAAGGAAATATCTTAAACTATTTGTACTAAATAAGTCCTTTCATAACAGTTTTACAAGTGCTGAAATAATTATAACTGCTACTTGAAACAAATAAGACAAGTATTTGCTACTACAAACTGAAGGGAATGTGCTCAACTACAGTACATTCAAATTACACAGAATCACAGAATGGCTCGGTTGGAAAAGCCCTCTGAGATCATCACGTCCAACCGTTCCTGTCTACCCCCTAAACCATATCCCTAAGTACCTCATCTACCCGCTCTTTAAATCCATCCAGGGATGGTGACTCCACCACCTCCCTGGGCAGCCTGTTCCAGCTTCTGACGACCCTCTCAGTAAAGAACTTCCTCCTTATCTCTAACCTGAACCTCCCTTGGCACAGCTTGGTGCCGTTGCCCCTTGTTCTATCCCCCATCACCTGGGAGAAGAGCCCAGCACCCACCTCTCTCCAAGCTCCCTTGAGGCAGTTGGAGGTGGTGATGAGGTCTCCCCTCAGCCTTCTCTTCTCCAGGCTAAACAAGCCCAGTTCCCTCAGCCGCTCCTCATCAGGCTTGTTCTCCACACAAATTACAAAACAGTTCCTTTTACAACAGGTGGAAGTTTCACCCTTAGCTGTTTCAGTATGTTATTTTTGATTCAGCAATAGCATTAGCACTCCAAAGCATCAGTAACAGGAATTATTTAAGTATGTTTTCTCAAGATGCAAGAAATTCCTCACATCATCTTTACTAAAATTCATGCTGGGTATTTTCAGCCAGTCCCCTTGTAGAATGAAACTTTTAACACAAGTTCACTATAATTTAAGGTTTTGTATACAGTCGGTTAAAAATGAAAGAAGCAGTCAAAGTACAGTATGAGATCAGGTCTCGGGAAAAGAAAAAACAAACAAAAAACCACAGATGCCAGCCACCTATCACTCTCCCACCTTCAGCTCACATATTTATAGAGAGCCTCTTATTCAACATATTAAAATAATCAATAAGACAACTAAGTTCTAGCAG